CCCCCCCCCCCCCCCTCTCCGCCCCTTTCTCCTCCCTGCCCCTCGCTTGCGTCTTCTCGCACGTGTTCGCGCACATACACACACAAACACACGATGGCCTCTCCCCACGTCCGCCAGGCTTCGGCCCTGTTTGAGCGCCTCCGCCGCTTTGCCGCGATCGTACGTCCTGGCCGTCCCCCCCTCCCCCCGCCTTCCTTGGCACATCTTCCTCCAGTCTGTTCTGACGTTTTCCCAAACGGCCTTCTTACCCCCCCCCCCTTCTTCCCTCACCTTCTCCTCCTGTTACACAGAACCGGCAGGAGGTTCAGGACTGGACCATCTTCGTCCCCGGGAAGTACCGCTTCCCCGCCCCTGGTTCCCAGGGCGCCATCAACCATGCCACCGGCACTCCGAATGGTTACAAGATCCTGCCCGACCGTCCGTCTGCCCGGATCTCCGACAACTACTACTTCAAGCGCGACCTGCGCCGGGAGCTGGCCCAGACCCCGCCTGTTGTCTTCACTTCTTCCAGCCTGCTGGAGGGTGCCGCTGCCACCGCTGCCATTGAGGGCGGTGCTGCGACCAATGCCTCGACCGCCGCCGCTAGTGGTGCTACTGCTGCCGCTTCTGCCGCCCCCGTGTCCAAGATGCCTCCCAACTGCGGGGTCTACTACAGCGCTTAGGCGCCTTGAAAATGTGGCGCTGTCACCGCCTGTGTGGGTGAGCGCGCCATCCCCGAGACACGTGCCGTTTGCTGTTGACCCGAATGCCCCCCAAGATCTTGGCATTGTTGTCATCTCCTCCCCACTCTCTTCCCAGCCACACATATGGGCGTTTGCCCTTCCCTCCTCTCGTCGCGTCAGTGTGACCCCTTTTGACGCACTGCAATATACTTTCATAATTACACTCCCACCTGGGTGAAAGGCGTGCAGCCCGGCAGCAGTGCACATGCGGTCGAAGGGCAAACATGCGCATGCGCGCAGACACGTGCATCCGTCTGTTTGCATGCCAAGAGTAGGGACAAAAACCCGAGCACATGGTACTTTTGTTCTATTTTCAACCGCCAACAGGATGGCACTTCGCCCAAGCGACGAAGAGACACCCCCTGCATGGGCGATGGAGAAGGGAAGCAAGGGCATTGGCCTTACCGTGCCATTTGCTGGTGGACCTGCCGCAGAAGGACGTGGTTGAGGAACTGCTCCCGCGCCAGTGTACGGACACACTGGTTGTGGCAGGAGGACGAGAGTGGCCCGTATGCGTGTGCGTGCGCGCATGTGAAGGAGCATATTAAAACATGCATGTGTGAGAGAGCAGCCCGGACCAGGGAGGGAGAAGGCTCGAGGGAGCGAGAAAAGCGAGAGGAGCAAGCAAGACCACCGGAGCAAACGCAAAGACGCGGCCTCATACCTTGATGTACGTCTTGAGGTCGATACGGCCCTTCCCCAGCTGATCGCGCAGCACAAGCATCGAGTCTTCAAGCGCACACTGATCCGAGACCAGGTCTAGGAACCTGCCCAGCCCCACACCCCCACATGAAGTCAAACATACTGGTTAGAAAGGCGTCGACGCAAACCGTTCTCTCTCTCCCCCCCCCTCTCTCTCTCTCTCTGCCTCTTTCTTTCTCCGCGAAAGGCACATCTTTGCCCCCTTCTGTTCCCATGGTCCAGGTCTTCAGGCTGCGATGGTTCAGGAAAGTAAGCCCAGCCCATGGGAGGGGGGGTGGGTGGGGGGCGGGGGGGGGTAACGCACTGCTGCTCCAGTTCAGAGCGAGGTTGGATGTCGGCCACGCTCAAGGGAGGAGCGGTTTCCAGGGGGGCAATCTGCTGGTCCAATGCAACGCGCTCGCTCTCCAATTGACCAATGATCACGGGCAGGGTATCCTGTCGGAGTTGCATCCCGGTGGAAAAGCCAAGTCAGCAAGGGTGGCACTGTGCGCAGGGCCGGCGATGGGCATGCGCAATCGTGGCATTTCGTACCAGTTGGGTCTTGTACACCTCCACCGCGGCACAGATCTCCTTCTCGTTCTTCTTCAGTTGGCTAAGCAGCAACAGGCCGGTTAGCAGCACATGGACACAAGGGCACGCGCATGCAGCTGCCCAATGTGCACAGCAGCGTCGGGTGCCAGCTGTGACCGAGCCCTCGGGCCGTTCTCGAACAGGCACACGCACCTTTCTTCGGCCTTCAGATGTTTCTCGCGGAAGGAAGCCCGCTCCTCGCGGGCAACAATCCCACGCAGGAGGCTGTCCACCGCGGCACTGACCAACGACGCTCGGGTGATGTCATCAAGGGCACTTTCCTCAACGGCCGTTGAGGTGAGTGGTGCCAGGGCCGAGTTGCTGCTGTTGAAAGCCCCCGAGGGGCTATGCACCGGCGAGGAGGGGCCCGGGGAGTAGGACCCCGGCTGCGATTGGGCCGGCTGCTGCTGGGGCGAATGTTGGCGAGCCGGCGCGGGAGGCTGCATGTATGGCGGGATCCCGGCATGCCCGGTGGTGTGAGGACTGGCCGAGCCCCCGGCCGAGCCGAGCTCCGACTCCAGCGGCGCAATGGTCGAGTCGGTGGAGAAGAGAGGGGGCGTTTGGTTGATCTGGTTCTGGAAGGCCACAAACAGGTTGGCCAGATCCTGCAAGCATCGAGAGGGACATTTGGGCCACAGTCGGAAAGCGGAAAGCAGGCGTGAGAGGCAGGTGAAGCGGGTGGCGGTGGCGGTGGCGGTGGCGGTGGCGGTGGCGGTGGCGGTGGCGGTGGCGGTGGCGGTGGCGATGGGGACCAGACATACCGGTGAGGACTCATGCCATGATTGCAAATGGGGGATAACAAGGTTGCCCTGGCGTTCGATGAACTTGGCCGCCGGGTTGAAGGACACGGGCGCCCGCCAGTGCTCGGTGTTTTTGACAACATAGAAGGCGGGGCGTTGTTTGGGGAAACTGGGTAATCGGTGTATGAGTCAGGGGGCATCCGCCGAAAGCAGGCGCGGCCACTTGGCGAGCATGTTCAGGAAGGAGAGCCGGGAGGACGCACTCCTTCG